GGTTGCTTCCATATATTGGCTGTTGTGAACAGTACTGCAATAAACATGGAAGCGATAATCTCCTCAAGTCCTGATTTCAATTCTTTTGGATTGTGGAAAACACTAAGCAGATATTAGTAGTCCACACGACAGGAAAAAGCTATAGAGGCCAGAGTCAGCTATAATACAACAGTTCAGCTATGAAGGGGCTAGTTGTCTGCCCCCAAAGAGACTCACCTCACCATTATTTTCAAACCTCTACTCTAATACCACTGTGCTAGAGGGGAAACAATGAAATGTTCGACCAGACCCATTGTCTGCAAAAGACAACCTTTAAGATTTTATGACCTAGTTGGGCCTCTCTGGTGGTGCAAGAGGTTAAGTCTCAGCACTATGAAGCTATAGGCAACCACTGCAGCACATGTTCCATCCCCGGCCAGGAAACTAACCCACATGGCGCAGCAGACCTCTCCTGTCCCACCCACCACTACCCTCAGCAGTGTATTTCAGTAGATCTGCCTGTTCTGCTCTCCACTCTGTCTCTGGTAAATCCGCTCACCCACCACACCTCTGGCCTATATCCCAGTTCTTGTATGAAAAAAAAAAAAAAATTACAGCCCTTAGTTATAATCACTCAATCATTTACAATCTGCTTTGGTTGCTTAACCATGTGACTGATTTTTAACGATTTATCTTATAAGTAACCAGCACCTTGCAAGTAAGTAAGGTCTTCAAATGCAAAATTTTGGATTTTACTGGCTATCTGAGAGAAACTATTCCAAATTTCCCAAATCAGAAAGGTGGGGAGTGAAGATTAGCAAGTTATTGGTGTCCCCCTAAGTCACAGAAATTTCTTTCACAGGTATGTCTGTTCCTTTGGGACAGGGTGTATTTCTTCAGTAGCAAGTTGCTGTTTTCTGGAGACAGTTATCATTAACATAAAGGCAGAGCACCAAACAATTTGCCTATACATGTTGGAACACAGTTTTCTGGAAGCTGGGGAAGCGGTCAATCTTACTCTTGTTACTATTATGCTTTATAGGGACCAGCTTTCAAGTACTCAGTTGCCACATTGGGCAAGGCTGCTACACTGGATGGACAGATATAGGCAACTTACATCACCACAGAGTCTATTGGGTAGTGCCATTTGGAACAATCTGGCCTTCCTTTGGGTTTTCATAATATTGACTTTTTAAAAAGTCTAAGCCAGGGCCTCCCTGGTGGTGCAGGGGTTCAAGTCTCAGTGCTACCAAGCTATCCCCAGCCACTGTGGCATGAGTTCAATGCCCCCGGCCAGGGAGCAACCCACATGGCACAGCAGACCTCTCCTGTCTTGCCCACTACTCCCCTCAGCAGTGTATTTCAGTAGATCCTCCTGTTCTGCTCCCTACTCTGTCTCTGGTGAATCCTCTCACTCACCATACCTCTGGCCTACACCACAGTTCTTATATGCCTAAATAAAATAAAAATAAATAAAAAAAAGTCTTATAGAGAGTTCCATATTGTAGGTTGTCTGATTATTTTCTCAAGACAAGATTCTGGAAAAACATTTTTGACGAGAGTTCTACATAGACTATGAGGTTTCTATCTGTTCTCTCACTAATTTCAGGAGGCTGTTGGTGATGCCTAGCATGAATTCAATAAATCCCAACGAGGAGATGACCCAGCACCAGGCAAGCTCCCAAGGACTCAGAGCTAGACTTCGGGTGGAATATCCCCGCAGCCTCCTCCCCCATTAGAGCAGGAAATGGCCTTGTAACAGGAGTGGAAACTGAGGAGGAACAGCAAAAGGCCGCAGCAAAGAAGGGCGAGATAATGGGGTTACAGACTCTTCCAGACCATTTAAAGAATCCAGACTCACTTAAAGAATCATAACTGTCTGGTGATTGCTTTGGGCACAGGAAGCAGCTTGGGGAGAAGCCCATGACCCAGCTAAGCATTCAGCCGGAAGGCTCAGCAGCAAGGTGCCCTAGGAAACCCTCTAGAGAGAGGCTGGCAGGCTCGGAAAGCAACTTGCCAATCACTCCTCGTGGGCTTGTGCCCAAGAGCCTATGGCAAGCTCTGAGCCTGGGAGTATCTAGGGCAACATCCCAGGGGATTCTGGCTGCCAACTTTGGCCCTGATACAGAAAAAAGATAACCTAGATGTTAAGCCAAGCAAAAGATATAGACTGCAGAAGCTTGGGTGGGGTGGGGGCGACAGGGTGGTTGCTTTGTCCTCCACATCAGAGGAGTTGTAGGAAGGACCAGTGTTTGCACCCTGGGCTTGGAAGGGGTCCCCCAAGTATGCTTCAGGCAAGGTGACATCTTCCTGGCATCTTCCTCCACCTACGCGGCATGGCCATGTGGGATTTGGCCTGGCAATCGGGAGACCTTACTTAATATTCCCTGTATGACACCTGCGACAAGTCACTTATTCTCTTAAAAGTTTGGTTTCTCACACCATGTATTTCTAACTTCCCGAAATCCAAATACTTCATTTCTGAGTAATTTGTTGGGTAGGTGACAGCCTAGGTTGTACACTTAAAGTCCCACATGACAGTCTGTGGCAGAGTTGAGGAAAAATATGTGGGTGTCCCATCAGGCCATAGTTTAGGGGCTCCCTTCAAGTGAGATGCTCTATCTACCTGTTCATTGTTTTTAAAATAGTATCTAAGAGAAATACATTTCTATAATGCTCAAAATAAGGAATTTGTTCCATGCACTGACTATGACATAACATTTAAACTTATTTGAAATTCTTCATTTAATTTAAAATCATCAATAGCTATATAGTATTAGTCACCCACACTTAACTAAATATGAATATAGCCATAAAATCTTTCAAATTATGCTTTAAAATTCTTTTCTGGTTGGCCAGACTGTTCTCACTTTTCTGTAACTTTTTTTCTTCCTAGTTTTTTTTTTTAATTTCCCAAGCCAGACATTTTCTTGGGAACCATATTGAACAATTTTATATTTAGATAATGTAATAAAATATAGTACAGTGCAGTAAACAGAACCATACTGAGCATCCTCCAGCTTCTGTATTTTAGCTGAAGGAGACAGGTAGGATTTGAGGAGACCAGCACTTAGCTGGCCTCAGGGTTGATGTGTTGCCTGTAATTATGTTGCAAAAATATCACCAGAGATAGGCTGGTGCCTGGGAGACCTGTTTTTAAATGTTCCCTGGAAGACATTGTCTATTTTCAGTAAACAATGACTATTTTGTATTAATGTAGGGTATCTTGTGAGCAAACTTAAATAATCAGTACTGTATTTCTAAACATTTCAGTGATGTTTTTATGTTCTCTGTACAGGGCCAATGGTCCATCCAGCTAGAGGAGTGGTAGGCCTGGGCTGAGGGTGCTGGAGGTGGATATATGGCCTTGGGCAAAACCTGAAGACCTCTGAACCTGTTTCTCCTTGTATAATGTGATAATATCTATCTTGTTGGGTTAATAGTGATAATATTGAAGTTGTAAATGAGGCCATTATTTAAAAGTATACAGTATAATATACTGTATAGTAAAACACACAAATAAAAATTAACAAGCAATTATCCTCTTTTTCCATTACACATGAAGAGTCTTATTAACATATTGCTGCTTTGAAGTTTGTTCTCGAATCCAAGCCTGTTATAAAAGACTAATTTCTTAAAAGGTCTCACCAAAAATAAAGTACAAGTAGGTGAGATAATGGGTGTGTTAAGGTGTTAACTCCATGGTGGGAATCCGTCCACAATGGATGCATCAGTCATTAGTTGTACCCTTTATTTTTTTTTAAGATTTATTTATGCATATAAGAGCTGGGGTGTAGGCCAGAGTTGTGGGGAGTGGGAGCATGGGATGAGAGGATTCACCAGAGATGGAGTGGGGAGCAGAACGGGTGGATAGTCTGAAACACACTGCTGAGGGGAGCAGCGGGCGAGTCAGGAGAGGTCTGCTGCGCCATGTGGGTAGATCCCTGGCCGGGGATTGAACTCGTGCTGCAGTGGCTGAGGATAGCTTCATAGTGCTAAAACTTCACCCCTTGAACCACTAGGAAGGCCGCAGTTGTACACTTTAAATATCTTACAATTTTGTCTATTATTTCTCAATAAAATAGGCGGAAAGGGCGATTGTTACGATGGGCAGATACTCAGTGTGCAGTCTCTGCTTTCCAGTATTATCTGTCTCCTGTGGGGGCGTGTCCAGTGGGCAGAGGCCCCAGCATAGGCTCTGGAGCCAGACACACCTGGGGGCTGCACTGTGACTATGCCTTCCACACCTGTTAGCTCAGAAACAGGGCCTTGTCAGGGATATGTGTGGCTCAGGAGGTTGTGTCGTCATGCCGTGCCACAAATGCCAGTCTTTGAGAACTATTTGCAGTTCCCCAAAGTGCTAGGTTAACTTCTGGACTCAGCTGCTGTTCCCTCTACAGGATGGCTTTCGCCTCCCATTTCCTGCTTACTCCTATTCTTCTCTAGATTTCCCTGACTCCCCACCACCCCCAGCTTGATGAGGGGTCCCTTCTGCCTGCTCACCCCCATAGCCACCCTTACCCTGAGTGCAAGTGCAGTGATACTGCCTAGGCGTTGGTTCACCTCCTCCCACTTTACTGCTGCCTACTATTTTGGTGTTTAGCATGTGCCAGGCACACACTTAGTGCTTTATGCGCATGACCCACTGATGACTCCTAACAATCCCAGGAAATAGGTAATACCACAGATGAGGAAACTGGAGATCAGGGAGGGTAAATGTTCTGTCCAAGGTCACACATATACAAACAGAAGAGCTGGGATTTGAACCTAGGTTTGCCTGACTCCCAGCCCTTTGCAGTCAATTGCAAACTCCTGGGGGCTTGCAGGATTGAGTAGAGTGAGAACAAGTTGTAAGCACTCAACAAGTGATGGCTTATCATCACTCTGACTTGCAGGGGTGGGGCTGGAACCTCACCCCTTAGACGCTCACATCCCTTAAGCTGAGATGGTGCATGGACACAGGATGCAGAGCGGCTCCAATTATCGCTCAATAAAGGACTGACAGGCGCTTTTTATCAAATGTCCCTGTATTTGAGATGCTCCACTTCTTGTCACACTTTGACCCTTTTCCATGAACACACAGGAAACACCAACCACCTAAATAAACATCCTCTTTATTTTACCAAATATAATTTATCAGTTATGTTGACATTTGTCAATTCAGTTATAGTAACTATAAATAATTCTCTTAAGACACAGTTCTGTAGCTTCTTATGGGGTCAGGAGTAAACCAGTGTTGCTCCTCAGCCAGGTCAGACATGCAGTTTGTGCAACCAGGGAAAAAGAAACAAATCTTCTGGGAAAGTCAACTTCATTTTCTTTCCTTCACCCCACAGTCCTCCTGCGGCTCGCACTCAGGGACTTGGAGCACACCTATCTTCCTGCTTTCTCAGCAAAGGAGGCGCTCCAGTCTCCAGGGCAGCCTGGCTGAACTCCAGAGATAAGGGTGAGCGCCGGGGCAAGGGCGACTGGAGGTCTCAGGGCTGGGGGTTTGGTTTTGGTGCATGTACAAGAAGAGTCTGTGCAAATGTGTTTGGAGGTGGAGGTGTTTGGACAAGATGAAGGGAGGCCTGAGGGAAGAGTAGAACAAGCCCTGGCTGGTGTTAAATGACCTCTGTTGGCCACGACTCCACCTAGATAACCTCTAGGATCCCTTTCAATGCTAAGGTTCTCGGTTCCACAGGCTGGACCATGTGGAAACAGAGGGAGGGTGGTCTCTGGAGGTAGGGGGCACGGTCCTAGATAAGGCATGTTGTTGGTAAGAGATGGGGCCACTGCCTTGCCAAAGTGGGAGGCTGCAGATAGAGGATAGAAAAAGCCTGCATCTCAATGACCGGATTTGTCCTCGTCAGTGTGGAGAGATTTCCAGTCTGTTAAGAGTCACATGGGGGGCAGAGGTGGAGGCTCCAATGCCCCCAATCTTGCTCTGGCAGAGAAAAGGAGAAGCAGCTAGTTGAGGTCCAGCCTACCAGTTCTGAGTTCTATTTTGGGTGGTTGGTGAGAAGTAGAGGGGAGGGGTGGAGAGGTAAGGGTGGTTTAGGGAAATGAACACTGGTTGAGCAATGGAGCTTGAGGCTCTGGCTGCAGCCAGCGTTGCAGAGGTGGGACCTAGGAGGCCAGGAGGCAGAACCTGGCTTGGGGACGCAGGTGCAGACACAAAGGGTGTGTGGAAAAGGGCAGTGTGCCTTGGCGTTTGGGCAATGAGGTGAGGGTAGAGGTGTGTTTCCACACCACTGGCTAGTCAGCGCCTGGCATAGTATCCAACGCATACCAGGCACTTGATAAATATTGCTCAGTGAAGGCTTCAGACCATGTCTGCAGAAGAGCCCACCTTAGGGGGCTGCGGAACTCCTGGATGAGTGAAGGAATGAATGTTGAATACCTGCGAGCAAGAGCCAAGTGACGAAAACCAACCTCCACAGCAGGATGGGATGGGTGTTTTACAAAGTGATGGAGTCAAGGGGACCATGTGATTATGTCCTCAGGGGAAAGAGCAGTGATGAAACACCTCTGGTTGCCCTCAACTTCCCAGTCATCCTCCACATACCCATACCCCACCCCTCATCTTGGAACCCAGGCCAGCAAGCTCTGGGGAAGGTAGTGCTTGGGGGAAATAAGAGGTGAAGGTTGAACAGAAACAAAGAATCTGGTCCCAGGGAGGACGTGGATTCTGGCCACCCTATGGGTGGGCATGGGGCAATAGCAAGACCAGGCTGCTGCTTATTTCTTCCTGGATGGGACAATCAATTGGAAGAAGATTTGCAGGAGGGGCTGGTGGCCTTCATCAGACAACTGGTGAGGGGCATGTGCACAGTCTGATTAGGCACCACTTTTTTAAGCAGAAGGGCCTATGGGGCTGGCACAATTATTTCTGCCCAGTGTTTTGAAGTTGGTCCATTTCTACAAAAAGTGTGTGTGTGTGTGTGTGTGTGTGTATGGAAGCCAGGGAGTATAGAGTGATATTTCTCTCTCTGTTTAACCAAAAAGAAGAAAACAAAACAAAATTTAAAAACCAGAGCCTACACACAAAGGGTTTCTCATCAGGGCTAAGGTAAAGGTTGCTAAAGCTAAACCAAAGCCCCCAGGTCCCAGGCGGAACCCCGCCCCCAAGTCACGTGACCTGGAGGCACCCACCATGAAATTGCACTTGGTGATTGTCTCAAAAATCTACTTGTACTGCTTATCTCAGTCCATCTGTCCTTCCTGAATTCTTGCTATATAAACTTGGCTCAATTTATAAAAATTCCCATTGAAAATAATGAGAATTTGGTATCAGAGTGAAGTCCTGGAAAGAGGTGGGAGTGTGGAGTGTGGAGTGGGCTGGGGAGCAAAAGAAAAAATTCAAATGGAAAGTGCAGAGGGGTGGGCAGAAGGTTGAGTGAACAAGTTAGTCCCCGACATCCGTGTCTCGGTCCCCAATGAGCCAGAGGACATGGAAGCTGAGTGCCAGGAGTCCAGTGCCAAGCAGGTCCCCCAGAGCTGTCAAGTACGGGATGGAGAAGTTGTCTGGGTCCAGGCCCCGACCCCACATCCAGTGCACCATCCAATCTGCGATGTACAAGAGGATCAGCACCTGCGGAGACAAAGGCCTGTCTGTGGCTACGACCTCACTCCAGGGGGAGCCAGAGGCCACACATGGGGCTCAGCCTTTGCCTCACCAGGCTTGGCTGTCCACATCCTCACAGGCAGCTCATCTTTCCTCCCTGGCACCCTCTCTGTGCTCCTCTGACTGCCATCTTGAGCATAACAGACCCCTGTGAGCTCCTCAGAAAGGAAGATGCTGCTGCTTTTCGGGTCCCCACATCAGCATTACATTCTGCTCCCAAATTTACCAACAAGGGGCTTCCTAACCTAAACTTTGTGGAGGGAATTCAGCTCTCTGGTCTCTAGTTCCGGGTCACCCCACCTTGGTCACTCCCGTTCCTGCCCTTTTGGCCTCGCTAGTCTCCTGGCAGGCGGCTGGAGGTTGAAATTTGCTTTTCATACAGAGACTTCTCTGTTTGGAGTGGAATAAGGACAGTGTTTGAGGCTTCTGCTGGCATAGTTGTCTGAGGAACAGCTGGTTATCTTGAGCTTTCCTCCTGACCCTTTGCATTCTGCTATTGTGGGTTTCAGAAAATGCAAGTTTATTTTAACATTAGTCCTAGAAAATTAGAATTACAAATAAGTCAGCTAAACATAGGGCAGATTGGCATATCAATTCAAAATACATTTTGGATTATCTGCTGCTATGATTTATCTGTGCCTTTGCTTTCCTTCCATTACTACAGACAATTAAGACTAATCTAGATTAGAACCTTACTAGTGGGCCCAGGGAACAGCTGCATAACAACAGCTGGGGGCTTGTTAGAAATGTAGGGTCTCAGGTCCCACTGCAGAACTCCTAAATCAGAATCTGCGTTTTAAAAATGATTCACATGCCCTTTTGAGTTGGAGGTACATCTGATCTCTGCTTCTTAACATTTTTAAATGACTGCATCTGTGTGAGAATGAAATGGTTTCTAATGATAAAGCTCTAATACAGTAGTTGGGGAGTTTTATTGTTGTACTTTGCAAATACCATGGTATATAAATACTATCCTAAGGGGCTCAAAAGCAGGAACCCGAAACCTCTGGGGATCCAAAAGCCAGAATTGGTACTTATTTTAAGGCAGATTTGGTCGCTTTCCTATCTTCTCTACAAAGAAGCCAGATGGTTCCAGCACCCGTCACCTTCCCCTTGCCTTGCACACAGGGCCTTGTACTCCCATGGCCTTGGGCTTGGGTGAGAGCCAGCCCTCCTTAACTTCACACCCTTTGCAGCAGCTGCGGGAGTGTCCCAAATAAAGACTAAGACCAGGAGGGCCTAAGGACGTGCCCTGGCAGCAGCTGTCCCCATGTTTCAGACTCCCAAGCAGGCCTCCAGGCACATGGCTGGGAAGAAAAAGGGCAAAGGGATCAGAAAGAATCTTTATAGGGGATCAAGTGCCAAGCTTGGGCCTGCCACGGCCTGGAGAAGACAGGAGAGATGAGTGTCCCTGAGGGAGTTGCTAATAGGTGACAGCTGAGGCTTTCCTTCCCAACACAGGCTGAGGGATAACTTCCAGCCACAGACCCTTAGCACCTTTACCCACACCCTGTTCCCACCGAGTGCAATGAACCCTGACTTGCAAGGTGATTGATCCAGCGAAACAGCATATGGTTGAATCTCAGCCAGCCATGCCAAGATGCCCTAACACACAGCCTTTCTAAAGGTGGGGGTCACACGTTTGTCAGTTAGGGGTCTGATTGAATGAAAATATGATATTCTACAGGGCAGAAAAGAATACAGTCATAAGAAACCAGGGCACTCTTCTCTATGTATTGATATGGAATGATCTGGAAGATAAATTAAGTGAGAAAAGAAGGGTACAGAGAATGTGTATAGTATGCTAGCTGTGTATTAAAAAAAAGGAGAAAGATAAGAAAAATATGTATGCTCACTTGTGTAAACACAGAATAAACTTGGATAAATGAGAAAAAGTTACCACTAATGTCTGCGCAGAAAACTGGATGGCTGGGAGGAAAGCAGAGATGAGGACTTTTCACTATGAACTCTTGAAAAAAACCTGAACAGGGCCTCCCTGGTGGCCTACGGGCTGGCTCTCAGTGTTATCACCGCCATAGCCTGAGTTCAATCCCCGGCCAGGGAGCTGACCCACATGGCACAGCAGACCTCTCCTGTTGCCCTGCTGCTCCTCTCAGCAGTGTATTTCAGTAGATCTGCCTGGTCTGCTCCCCATCATGTCTCTGGTGAATCATCTCAGCATCACCTACCCCCCACACCTCTGGCCTGTACCCTAGTTCTTCTACGCAAAAAAACAAACAAACAAAAAACTGCCAAAATAAAAAACCCTGAACAATGTGATTACTGTTAGTTACTCAAAAAACAATTTTAAAAAGTTGGTAAATGTAACACTAAGGGTGACTTGGCTACCAGGCAGCATAGGAGCCTGGCAGTGACACACCTGGGCAGTAGGGGTGGCCATGTGAATCCTCAGCTGCATTACACCACAGCAGCTGAGTGTGCACGGGCGCATGCATGGGGCACATGTCAAACTGGTGCAATCTGGGTGAGCGCTGTGGCTGTGCCCAGCAGATCCCCTATCATGACTCGGCCTCTGGCTATGCAAGATGATGGGGGAAATTGGGTGAAGAGCACATGAGATCTCTCTTTTCTCTATGAACTTAGTGAACTTATTTTCGCAATCTCTTGTGAATCTAAAATTATTTCCAATCACAAAGTTGAATAAAATGTGAGAATACAACAGGGAGAAAGTGTCACCGTATTATGGAAGGGCAAGACAGAACAGGAGCCTATAGGTTACCTAGTGCAATGATTTTGGACAAGTTTTTTGAAGTCGTGCGACTCCTTTTAAAAGAAACCTCCTGAGGGAGCCTGGCATGCAAAATAGGGCCAAGTGGAGCGTGGTGGTGAGGCCCATGGGGGTGATATCCTGCAATCACCTGCATGAAAACTGCCACCCATTCCCCTCAATTCAAGCTCGATGAAGTAAAACTGGACCAAAGCCACATAGCATGTCAGTGGCACCCCTGTTCTCCTGGGCCTCCACCCTGTGTTTATCTTCAGCCTCCTAGTCACAGAGAAGTGGCAACGTGTTGGCTGGGCCATGCGGGGCCTTCCATGCTTCTGCAGGCCGTACCTGGAGCAGTGCAGCTGTCATGTAGAAGACAATGAAGATGAGCGTGAGGGTGGTGTGCCCACCCTGCATGCAGCTGATGGTGTAGAGGAACACCAGGTGTCCTGGAACCACAAGGAGGAAGAGGACCCGGGCCGAACGAGAGTTCACATCTGAGGCAGGGGAGAGTGGGGTGAGCGGACACCTCCAGGGCAGCAGGGAGCTGACTATCTCTATCTCTCCATCCTGGGGTCCCCAGCTCCCACAGTTCCCAGGAAGAGAAACCTTCCATCCTGGTTCTGCCTCCAGAACAGCTGGTGGAACTTGCACATGCCAGCCCCCCGATTCTTAAATTCCCTGGGTGTGGCCCCTCCCTCCAGGGCTGCAGGGGACCTCAGGGGCTGGGAACCTGCTATTACCAGGACTGAAGAAGGTGGTACAAGGACTAGGGCAGCGGCGGGGCGCTTGCTCAGAGTTCTCCCCGGGCATGCCATTCATGTGGAGGAAGGTGGAGATGCGGCTGGCCTGTACCGCCACCAGGTTGCCCCCGACACCTGCAGAGATAGATGTGGGGGGAAGGAGAAATGGGGAGGGGATGATCCTCTTGCTCTTTTTTCTGCACAGGCACTGACTTCTCTTCTTTTATGCTCTGTGCAGGGATGGCCCACTCACGGTCCCCAGGAGGCATACTCAGACAGCCCTCATTCCAGGAAGCCTTCCAGGCTCCTCCCACCCTCCCCTGCTCAGAGACGAGACTGGGGGTGCAGGGAAGGACACAGGCAGATGGATGCTCTGCAGACTCAGAAGCCTGGCTCCTCCAGCTGCACAGCACGCGCACCTGCTTCCCCACGCAGCTGAGAAGGAGGCCCGGCCCCGCAGCTTCTGCTACCGCTACGAGCAGGCCCAAGGCCCGATGCTCCTGCACTGGTTCCAGGAGCCAATTTCAAGTATCAGGTCTGAGTTCTGGATCCTGGAATCTTATGTCTCCCAGGAACTGTGCTAGTTATTCTCTTTGCCTTCCCTCCCCCAACTTATTCCCTGTTCTTCTCAGCCTTGCTCCGAGGCCTGGGAAGCCTTCTTAAAGAGGGCACCTGACTTTCTTTTTTTTTTTTTTAAGATGTATTTATTTATTTAATACTAGAACTGGGGTACAGGCCAGATGTGTGGGAGGGTGACAGGATTCACCAGAGACAGAGCAGGGAACAGAACAGGCAGATGGGCCGAAGACTCTGCTGAGGGGAGCAGTGGGCGAGGCAGGAGAGGTCTGCCGCGCCATGTGGGACGCTCACCGGCTGGCTGGGATCGAACCGGCGCTGAAGAGGCTGCGGACAGCTTCAGAGCACAGCCCTCAACCGCCTGCGCCACCAGGGGAGGCTCAAGGGCACCTGACTTTCTATGGATGGCACTGCCCAGGCGCCGTTGCTTGTTCAATGGGAGGCACCAGCAGGCAATCAAAGAGGGTGGGAGGAGAGAGAGGTCTGGTGTTCCCATCCTGATTGCTCCCTGCTTTTTGACAGTGGCCTCCTCTTTCCCTACCCACCCCCACACATTGGTGGCAGAGGTGGGCTCTCACTGGGCTCCTGGACACAATTTCCCCATCACCCCTGAGGACCAGGGCTAATCTCTGGGTGCTTCAACCTTTCTTCTTGCACCTCCCACCTTGCTCTCACCTCTAAGTGTATCCCTTCATTCAAATCCAGAGCTAGATTCTCTTGCCTGGGGAAGCCTGACTGTACAGGTAGCCCCCCACCACCCCTCAGCCCCCTTGTCAATCCTCTCCTTTTTCTCTGGCAGCTAATGCCAAGACCTCACCATTAATGCCAGGCAAGCTCACCATTGATGACAGGTGTGAAGACAGCCATCCCTGCAAAGTTGGGGTCTGAGACAGTCTTGTCTAAGATGAGGCCCCCCACACTACAGAGACAAAAAGACAAGATAACACTGAAGAGGTCTGTTCTGGTCTCTGGACAAGGGGTATAGCCCCATCAGGCCTTGGTAGGAAGGGGAGCCAAGTGCTTCCAGGAACCCCCATCTCCCAGCCCCTCCCTGGCCAAAACCAGCTCATAACAGGCTGACTTGCACGGTGGCCTCAGAGTAAGCCGGAGGTGCCAGGCCAGGCAGCCATTTCCTGTACCCACTCTCCAAGTTGGTGAGAGGCGCTGCCTTGTGGTCACCTGTCCAGCAGGTTCATAGGGGTTCAACCTGCTCAGTATTCATCTCCCCTTCTGGGACCAGCGCCAGGCTCTTTCTCAGGGAACAGCCTCTTGAACTCAAACATTGCTCCAGTGAAGGCCAGGCGCCCCCAGACCCACCTGGCCAGAACATCATACCCCAAGGACACCCTGATGCCCTTGTTTAATGATATTTCAGGGGTAGCCCTGTGACTGGGCAAGCGCCAACACTATTTGATAATGAGACTTTGTGGAGTTGTGGCGAGAAAGAATCTCTTCTCACTGTACGAATAAGAAAAACAGACATGTGGACCTGCAGGCCATCACATGGAAAAATCAGAGCAGGGAGGTGGAAAATTTAGGGCCCCTGAACCCAGCTGTGCCTCTATAGCTCCTGAAGCTGACACCTTCTGCTTTCCAACGAAACCCCCTTCCCAAGGTTGCGTTTGCAACAGCAGGACGTGTGATGGATACAATATTGAAGGCACATCCAGGGTCCACACCACATTCCCTCCCTCCAGGGCTGAAAAGGGAATCTGTGGAGGATGGGAGGAAGGTGAGGCATGTACCAAGGTCCTACCTGCTGATGGCCATGGCGATGATGACAGGCTCCCAGCCCGAGTACAACACCTCCCTGGTGGCTGGGCTCCGCCGGGCCAGGACCACCCAGACAGGCAGCAGGGCCACGAAGAAGGCACACACCAGGGGGTAGATATATTGCCAGTTCTCTGGAGAAGCAGAGATCAAGGGGAGGTGAGTGGTGTGGTCCCCTGCTCCCAGGTCCCCTGGCCAATCTGCAAATGTCCCAATAGATCAATAGCCACATCCCAAACGCCTGTAGACACATCAGCCCATCGGACACTCACTGGGAGCCCAGGAGGTAGGTGAGGCCAGTCTCTGCCATTTGGTAGAGGAGGAAACCAAGGCTGGAGCTCCCTGGCTACCAGATTTATCAGGAGGAGTGCAAACTAGACTCCAGGTTTCTTGATCTGATCTCAGCATTATCTTTAAGCCCCTATTTCATTTTGCAGATTCCAGTCTTTCCTTCTCGTTACCCATCTTACTCCTCCAAGGGAAATAAAGAGGAGTAAGGATCAAGAAGGCATGTATTTCCCCACCAGCCCTGCCAGCTGCATGAGTCTAAGAGAGGCACTTAGCCTTACCTCTCAAAGGTTGGAGTTACCCCACACCGTGTTTACACCAAAAGGTTAAGAACATGGAAGAAATCCTTGCACATTAGCAAAACCACTGCCGTCCCTCCCCACGCCCCGAGGAGTCAGCCAGGCCCCCTCGGTGGCTCGGCCTTACTCTGCTCCAGGTAGAGTCCCCAGCTGATGCCTGAGAGCAGCGCCAAGGTGATGAGGTCACCCAGGCTGGCAGCGATGGGTGTGGCCACGTTGTCTGGGTTGATCCCGATCTTTCGAGAGCCGATTATGACTCCTATCATGATCATCCCTGGAGGGGGTGAGGAGACAAGGGGTGTGACCAAGCAAAAAGAGACCAGAGGTGCCAGATGCAGCACACACTCTGAGGTACCTATCCCTACTCCCCGGCCTTCCCTTCCTTACCCAGCACCAGGGAGGCGATGAAAGCCGTGGCCACGCTGCTGGCACAGAGCAGGAAGGCATGCGGGATGCTGAAATGGCCATCAGGGATCCAGCCAAAGACAACGGCTGCGATGGATGCCAAGAAGCCCACCACTGTGGCCTGCACCTGCGGGGTTGGCAGCACGGACAGCCCTGGAGCAGACACTTCGTAGCCCAAGTCACTGAGTGCTTAGCCAGACCTCTCCCTGGCCCTCCCTGGCCCTCGGCAGCCCCAGGAGGCTGGCTGGGTTGGACAGTCCAGTCCTTTCAGGCTGGAATGATGTCTTTATTTATTTAGTTTCACACCAGACACTAGTCCTGGACAGAGCGCCCTGCGGGAGCCCAGGACACGTTACTGGCTGAAGGAAGGCTCCTCTGGGGATTGGGTTCAAAAAGCCCAAGACATCGGAGCAGAGACGAGGTCTGGACTTAAGGGGGAGGACTCCTAGTTCAGAACACGTGTGACTTCATGGGCAGATGGGAAAGCACCGTCAAGATTACTTAAGCAGTCCTGAGTCTGCTCCTGAGTTTCATCTGCGGGACTCAGCCCCCTGTGCAGCTGAGAGTCGAGGTCTGCCCTGGGACATGCTGGGCCCTTCCATTCTGGGCTGTTTTCCTGGTAATCCGTCAGGCTCCAGAGGGTAACCTAATTCCCTCCTAGAGCTGCTTTGGAGAAGCTAGTTCAGCAGGATGCCAAAGTGTCACTCATGAGCCATCAGAGCCTTTCAGATTCCTGAATTGGGGGGCAGCTGAGCCCACCCTCCCTGCTCTCTTACCTGGATGAGGGCCATGTTCCCTGTGATCATGCGCCAGAGCTCCTTGGGTGTGTCCATGTGCCCGATGTTGGCCTGGGAGAGAAGGGCAAGGGGTTGCAGCTCAGGCTGGAAAAGGCTGCAGCGTCCTCCGTTAGGGCCCTGCCTGGTCCAGGAGGTAGAGAGTGAGGTTGCCACTCTGGGGCCGGACATGACTTCCAGGGAGAGTAAGGCAGAATCAGAGTGGGTAGAGTGAAGGGGGAGAAGTCAGAGGGAGAGTGTTGAGCTCCTGCAGCTAGGTGGGGGCCCTGGGTGTCTGCCTCTTCTGCCCCTTCCCATCCTCAGAGGACCCCTGGGTGGCTCATCTGCATGGCCCCCTCCTACTGAGTCAGAGTGGCCCTGGCTCTGAAGTCAGCTTGCTAACCTGCTGGTGTGGGGCTGAGGCTGTGAGAGTGTTGGGAAGGGGTGAGGTGGCGAGGGAACAGGCCAAGGGCAATGCAAGCTGGGGGCCAGGCCGGGTGCCGCTACCTTCTGCTGTCTTCTCCAGACTCGCGGCCATGCTGGCATCCCTGTCACCTGGCTTCCCAGGACTCCTGCATTTTACTGTTTCCTGCCCCACCCCCCACCCCGGCCCAGCCCTGTGACTGGCTCAGTCTCTGAAGCATCAAGGCTGCCCCAAGGGGTTGTGGGAGGTGGGAGTGGTGAGCAGCCTCTGTCCATCTAGACCCTCCCTTTAAGAGCAAGCTGCTAAGGGGGAGAGGGGATGGGCCAGGAGGGGGCCGGGGAGGCCTGGCTCTGCTCCTGCCCAGCTGCAGAGTAGGGCTGGAGATCAGAGGAGGCCCCCATCTGTGCAGGCGGAGGGACCAGCATGATGCTCTCCTGCCAAAGCTGCATAAACAGTCACGAGGCAGTTGTGTAGCAGGGAGTGGGGCAAGGGTCCAGGGGCGCTGGGACACCCAGAAACCGAGCCTGGGAACCACACTGGGCAGGGAGCCCCTGCCCAGGGGCAGCACACCGGCCTGGGATCTCCCTATACCCGCCCAGCACAGCCTCACACTCCAGGCCTGGGGGAACAGGGAAGGCCGGTGAGCTCCGTCCTGCTTGTGCTGCCTAGGCTATGTGTGCCCCGCACCTCTAGGCCAGACACTCACTGCGGTGGAGAGCCTCGATGCCAGGGTCATTTCCAGGTTCCCCTTAAGCCCCAGCAGTGCAGGCACCAAGATGAAGACCTCTGTCACCTTCTGGAACACTTCCCAGTGCTGCAAGGTGAAAACAGAACCCAGGAATTTCAGTGCCCCAAAGGCCTGGCATTGAGGTTGAGCAGAGAGCCTGAAATTCAGGGGCTTGAGTGGCCTCCCGGGTGGCATGGGGTTAAGTCTTGGCACTATCACCGCCACAACCTGAGCTTAACCTTGGAGCTGACAGGCTGGGAGCTGACCCACATATGTTGCAGCCCCCTGCTCCCCTCAGCAGTGTATTTCAGTATATCCACCTGTTCTGCTCCCTACTCTGTCTCTGGTGAATCCTTTCATTCCCCCCACCCCTCTGGCCTACACAGTTCTTCTATAAAATAAATAAATATTAAAAAAATAAATTAGGGACTTGAGGAGGAAGTGGGCAGAGAGAGAGCAGCCGCCTTTCCTCCTGGGACCCTGGACCCCAAACAAATCCATGGTCCTCCAAACAACACAGCACCCCCCTTCTTGCCCCCCAGAACAGGGGAGAACAGATCTCCCTCAGTCATGGCTCTACTTTCTCTGCCGGGTTTCTGGAGCTAGGCTGGGGGCGGGGGGGTGAGGGGGTGGGTAGTGTCGCACCGGCTGGCTTACACCCCTGAAATCCTTTGTGATCCCCCTCAGATTGCAATCTCCAACTCCTTTGCCTTCAGTGCAGTTTCTCTGTGACCTCGGCCTTGAGCAGTGTTGTCTCAGCTGTGGAGAGTTGACTCCTTGGGGCTGGGTTGGGAGATTAGAGTTTGTTTGGCTTCTCCCTCCAAGGGCTTTGGGCCTCGGCCACAGCAAGTCTGCGCCACAACAGGTTCTGAACCAAGACTGTGGCCCCGAATCTCTGAGAGCTGGTCTGCAAGAAACTTTTTATTCCTCCTCTGCACCCCGGTGCCCACACCTCTCCCCTGTCTCTCAGTCAGGACAGGCAAGAGCACCCCTGCAGAAGGAGCACTGGACTGAGAGCACTGGAATGCCATGGACCAGTGGCCTGGCTCGCCCACCAATTCCTTCAGCCACGGCCTAGGCCGAGTTTCATCCTATCGACAACTCAGCGAGGCAAGGGCTACTTTTATCCCCACCTCATAGACGAGGAAACTGAGGTTCAGTTCGGGGAGCAGTGCACTCATTAGCACTAAGAGGGGATGGGGGAAGAGGACTGGGTGTTTGAAAGCTAATTTAATTGCAACTGAAATTTGAAGACTTGCAAAAAAGGCTGGAATTGGGTCTCCCTCCTCTGTCCTGAGAGGACACAGTTTCCTTTATTTGTCTTAAGGATGGAAAGCCTTCAGGTTTGCAGAGGGAAAGGTGGGCAGGTGGCCAGGTGGACATGCCCGGGCACCTTGGCTGTGGGGCTTGCTGGCGGGAAGCAAGGTGCTGAAATGGGCAAGGGTGCTGGCCTGAGAGCCTTGGTCTCCTACAAGAAACCACGGGGAGGAGCCTCATGCTACCTCCCCAAGTCCTCTCATGGCGGGGGGGTGGGGGGGGGCGCCTTAAACAAGTCACAAGGGCCTCAGGCTCCTGGCTGTGAAATGTACAATTCAGGGCGAAGTCAGGTGGTCACTAAAGGACTAACACTAGCACAAGGCAGCAATGAAATATCACCCCATGTCCATTAGAGTGGCTACTATGAACAGAAAACAGACTAGAAAGTAACTAGTTGGCTGAGGATGTAGAGAAACTGGGCCTCTGCGCACTTCTGGTAGGAATGTAAAATGGTGAAGCTGCTGTGGAAAATAGCATGGCAGTTGCTCTGAAAATTAAAAATAGAACTACACTACGATCCAGCAATCTCACTTCTGGATCTAGAGCCAAAAGAACTGAAGGCAGTGTTTCCAAGAGATGTTTGCACACCTATGTTCACTGCAGCTTTACTCTCAACAGCCAAGAGGTGGAAGCAGCCCACGTGTCCATCAGGGACGAATGAACGAATAAATGAAATATGGTCAATACACACAATGGAATATTATTTAGCCTTAAAAAGGAAGGAAATCCTGTTGAAGGCTACAACACAGATGAACCTTTAGGGCATTATGTTAAGTGGCTATAAGCCAGTAGCAAAACAACAACAACAACAACAACAACAAATCCAATATGATTCCACTTACATGTGGCATCCAAAGTACTCACATCCATAGAAATAGAAAGTAGAAAGGGGGTGATGTGGGGCTTAGGGGAGGTGGAAAGGGGAGGTTCAGCAGGCACAGAGTTGCAGTTCTGCAAGGTGAAGCTTCTGGAGATCCATTTCACAATACATTTTATGTTATTACTATCTTTTAATCACATACACACAAAGATGAGCAAGGATATCAGCGGTTGGGGAAAGGATCTGGAGGCCAGGGGAGGCTGGACACTGGGGAGTGGGGGGGTCCTATAAAGCAAGGACCTTTTTCCTTGTCAGTTCTTTGAGTGTGTGTAGGAGGAGAGGGGTAGGAGAGAGAAGGAGTCTCTATCACAACCCTGGGGAGGCTCACTTCATCAAGGCTAGGGAATCCCCTTACCTGCGTTCTGCCTGCCCCTCACAGGTGAAGGGCTTAGGATTCTCTTTAGGGGAACCCCTCCCTAGACAGCAAGGAGGGGAAGGACCCCTGCCCCCAGTCTCTAGTCCCCACAATTGTTTTCAGGCACCCACAGGAAGAGCCAGCCCCTTCCAAGCACTGGAGGCATATGAATGTCTTCTGGTTCTTGGGGCCCCAAAGAGAAGGCAGCCCCAGTGAGTCCCATCTGCCCTGGAGGAGCGAGGGGCCTGTTACTCTTGGACAGGCTGGTGCGCCCCGCTGGGCCCAGCTCCCTGCTGCCCAGGCTGCGCTCTGCTTCAGCTGCCCCTTCCCTGTCTAAACCAGACACCAGCTCCGGAGGGGAAGAATTCCCTTCCTCACCTCTCCCCTCACAATGGTGGGGCTGACTGGGGGCTCTGAAGCCCCTCTGAGGGCACAGCCTCATCTGCCCTCCTCACTGCAAACCGTCTGTCCCTGCAGTTGCCAGCTCTGTGAACACTTTCTTCTCCATGTGGGCAAAGGTGATGTGTATGTACTAGCGGCTTGAGAAGCCTGTGGAGAGATATTCCCGTGTAGACAAGTAATCTCTAAATTGTTTGTAAGGAATATTGCTGGTCTTTAAGATTCATTAAGAAGAAAACATGTGTGAAGCTCAGCTAAGCCCCTCTGGCTGCCACTACAAGCACCCCCAAATTCCTCCACCATCCAGTATACACACCCTTTCCTTTTAACTACACAAGGACCTAGAAGGTATGGGGTTTCAGCAGATAGGATGAGAGACAAAGGCAAGGGAACAGACACAATTTCCCCCTAAGCAGACATTTCCCTGATATGCACAGAATAGTCAAATTCACATCACCCGAGCCCCAGTCCAGAGACATCCTAGCTGACAACTGCGTGAGAGGCCAATTCCTACACATGTGCTTTCATCATTCACAAACCCTCCTAAAGAAGCAGCTCAGGCAGGGGTGGCCCAGACACACACACCTCTGGGAAGAGGTGCTGGGGATGCGGAAGCAGCAAGAAGCGGGGTGGCCCTGAGGTTAGGAGGGGGCGAATATGGCAGAGGCTGAGGACAGAGCGTCTCTCCTTCCTCCTTGGCCTAGTTCAGGCCCATCCCGTTTGTCCTGCTGGGAGCGCCGGCCCCAGAAGTCAAACCTGCCAGCTGAGCCATCAGTCAAGCCTTCACCCACGTCTTCCTGCTCTGCTGGGAGGAAAAGGGCTGTTCCAGGCCGCCCTATTCCACCTGGGGGGGGAATCCACAGAGCTGCACTGGGGGGTAGGAATGAGCGATGAGCACCCTACACCCTCAACATCCAGAAATATCCTGATTCAGAGCAATCACCCTAAGTCTTGAGCCTCAGTGGTCCTGCCGGTACCACTTTCTCGTCTTCCCCTTGCCTCTCCCATCCCTCCCCTTCTCTGGCTTCATATATGACACCCCACCTTCCCACCTTCAAGTGTTCTGCCTGAGACTTCTTCCCCTGCAGGAGGGTAGTGGGGGGGGGGGGAAGCCAGGAAGAGCTGGAATTCAGACATTATGAGAGTAGAACCTCCAAAGGCAGACTATAAGGCCAGGCTGGGGACTGGGGGGAGGGGTATAGGGAACCAGAGTCTGAAATGCTGATGCCTTCAGGGCAAGGACAGAGATCAGATTATCGTAAGCCCAGCGTTCACCTGTCTGAAGGCCCAGGACACCACCCACCCTGCCCCCAGCACCCTCTGGAGGAGGGCCCCAGGGCAATAGGTGGTCAAATGAGAAGGACTCTGAGTGCCCTGCCTAGGAATGGCAGGAACAACAAGGCCCCCCACCCCACCCAAACCCATGCTGCCATCCACTCTTATCTTTGGAGACTCGTGCAGAGAAACCCATGGAGGCAGAGAAGCCCGAGGAGGTGTTTGGGGGAAGGGGGCCTCTATACTTTGGGATCCTTTGCGAGTGAGTTCAAACAAGGACCCAGGAGTGCCCACCACCTGTGTTAAAGCAGCCAGGAATTCCACCTCCTGCCACTCCCAACCCCCACAAAGGCTGACAGAAAGAGGGGGAGATGCCTGTAGCTGTCTGGGACAGAAGTAGGAGGCAGGGAGTGTGCAGCCAGAGGCCCTATGTCCGCCCGCCTCCATCCCAACCCGGCCCACCCTATCTTCCCAAGCCGCGGCCGGCCATGGTGGGGACGCTGAAGCTGACATAGTCCCTTTATTCCTTCCCTACTTCCAGCCGGGCCAGCCTTCATCCCCTGGCAGAGCCTGGCTGTGCGCACCCAGTGGGGAGGAGGGCAAAAAAGAAGCGGGCCTTCCAGACTGGTCTTCTGCAGCCATGGGTAAGATGGGGGTCCTGGGTCAAGGACACATCTGAGCCCATGTGGGCTAGTGCTCAGCTGTCCGGAGGCACCGGGAACACTCTTTAGCCAACTCCTCCAGGCAGCCCTAACCCAGGCCTCGCAGACCGTCCCACTGAGGGTGTCCTAGCTCACGACACGGGCCTGAAGGCACGCAACCTAGACCCTGCTGCTGGGCCTGAATCTGAGGTCAGCCACCCCTCTGGCTGCTCTGGCTGTGGAGTAAGCAGCTCCCTGTGGTCCCATGTCTTGGTCCTTTTGCACCCATCTCTGCTCACCCCATCCCATGATGTCACTGCAGCCATCTGCAGGGCCTGCTGAGCCCAGCTGGGAGGCTGGGGGAGGGGGACAAGGACAAACTAGCCATTGTAATCCACACCAACTGGGCCCCAGCTCTGGGCCGAGTCTAGGAGCCAAACTGAGGGCAAGCACTGGCTCTTTGTGGGCACCCTGGCCAGGCTCCTCGGTTCCCTACCCAGGTCTCAGGCTTATGGGTATGGGGTGTGGTTGAGGTTGGGACAAGATGTCAGAGTCTTTTTCAGTTGTAGAGTTTTCTGGATAGGTGGGGTGGGAGGGGAGCACTTCTGTTCTTGCATACATAGACTATAACTCAAGTTGCTCCCAATTGCAGTCCACCCCGTTCTTTGGGGGAGGACAAAGAAAGCAGATTCCTCCAAAGGTTTTTCACCAATTGGCAAAGCAAAGCACCAGTGATGGCCATGAAGATTACCAGCGCAGGGTGGGAATCAGATGACCAGGGCCACGCTCCCTAACCCCTCTAAGCAATAGGCAACCTAGTGACAGAATGGATGTAATTATGGTTTCCAGGTCATGGGTCCACAGAAAAGCCCAACAAATGATCCCCATTATGATCAGAGATTTATCCACTCTTGCCCTTTGTAGGCACCAAACCAGAATTCAGAAACTCTAAGACTCAGAATCGAGGCCGTAGGAAAGGGATGGAAGAGGGGGAGAAACTGCCCGGACTCTAGACTCACTTTTCCCCTCACTGCTCCCACGCCCTGCCCTGGGAGAGGGGCAGTGGCCAGGTGAGGAACCCAAACCCGCATCTCCAGGCCTTTCTAGTCTCCAAGAGGACAATCCTTGAGAAGCAGGCGAGGGGCGAGGGGAGGCAGCACAAGGCACTTGGACATGGCAGGAGCACTCATTAGCAGTGGAAGAGCTGGGTTCTCCTGAAGGGCTCAGGTCAAGGTGGTCCAGGCAGGCACCACTGAACCCACACCTCAGTTGCCTGGATATGGGCAAAGAGGGCCCCACCATCATCACATGCACTGCGCGTAGGGTTGACCCAGTGCAGGGGGGTGATGCTGAGCCCCACCTTCTCCCAGTAGATTGCACGGTCAGGGACACTCTGACAGAGGGGTGTGTGTGTGTGTGGCGTGTAGTGGCCCAAGGGGCAAAGGTCAGCTCTCCAGCCTCCAGCCTGTATTTCTCCTCCAGCCTGTATTTCTCAGAGTACCTAGGACGGAGACCAACACTCTGAAGGGAATGGATACACGGAATGATCAATGTAGACGAAAGCCATGCTTTCAGAAAGCTCCGCGTGCCTCATTGTGCTTTAAAAACTTTTATCTGGAACTAAGACTCCAACAATCTCAGACCTAGAGGGAGTCCTCCACCACAATACACTGCCCAGCTCCTCTCTGGCTGTTAGCTTCCAGGTCCTGCCAACTCTTAGCCTAATTCTACCCAGTGGCCTCACAAAGCGCCTCTGTTGGGGCAGGTTCACGAAAGAAAGGTCAGGAGTAAAGAGGAGAGACCGTTCTGCCCAGATCTGGTTACATTTTGTCCCCGTTTATGACACATAACTAGCACTGCAAGGTCTTCTCATGCCAACTCTCCCAAATCATGCAGCAGACAGCATGTGCCCACTCCCATTCCCCAAGGAGAGGGCACCAAGGTTACAGGCAGAAAAACAACACGAAACGCCGTTAAGTACCTTGCCACTTAATCTGAGACCCGCTTGGCAACTGGACAAATACCTGCCCAGCAGGGGGATGAAGAGGAGAGTTGAAACCAAGCTTTCTACAATGGGTATCCTTGAAACCCCAAGAGAAGCGGGGGGAAGTCTAAAGAGACTACCCCTCTAAATATCTCCTGCTGGGCCGGGCTCAGCAAGAATGCCCAGGCAGGCAATGACCCCACTCCACCTCTCCTCTTCCAAGCCTGCACCCCAGAACTGGTTCTGCTTCTGTTAAGCAATATTGCCCTGACCACCTCCCCGGGGCCACAGGGCTTCCTCAAGGCTTCTGTAGAAAGTAACCAGATCAAGAAGAAACCCAGGATGTGATCCAAAGGGAAACAGTATTCTAGGAAGCGCAGCTGCTTCTCACAGGGGTGGGCAGAAGCTCCAAGAGTCAGTGTCCCAGGAGGAAAGACGACCCCGGGCTCACCATGGAGACCAGCCCCGTCTGGGCCCTACCTGCACGATGTCCAGCACCATGCCCGCGGCCACAGTCCCGAAGCCTGCCAGGAGGAAGGGAAACAGCACCTGCAGCCCGATGGAGAAGGAGGTCTCCTTGAGCGGGGAGGGGGGTGCAGGGCCCCGGTCCGTGCTGACGTCGTCGCTCTCATTGCTCTGGCTCCCGTTCTCCAGCAGGGCGTCCTCTTCCCGAACCCCTTTGGCGTTGGCCCGAGACTCGGTCACCACTACCTCCACCCCGGCCCCATCGGGCCCCAGGAACTCTGAGGTCCCAGCTAAGGGCTCTCTCCCAGGGCCATCCGAAGAGCAGGGTGAGGCAGTGGGGCCAGTTCCATTCAGCTGGTGGACGTCCTTCGGCTCTGGTTTAGAGGACATGACGGGAAGGGAGGAGGGGAAGGGGGACTTTCTTCTTTTTGCTTTTGCTCTCCCTCTCTAACCTGGGAAAGAACTTAGTCCTGGGGTGAACCCAGGCTTGGGTGCCGCGGGACCTCTCCCCACGGCGCTCTGCTCCTACCAGGCTCTGCAAAAGCTGATCTAGCAACAGGCAGCCCCATCAAGCACTGAAGCCACAGGCTGGAGGGAAACAAAAAAGGCCTCAACAGACTCTGCAGCTGGCCCCCAGGGGTGTAGACGCCTGGCTCTGGCCCCCAGCGCCGTGCTTGAGGGAAACTGATCTGGCCTCTTATCTTCTTTGGTTGGCAGTGGCAGGCTCCTCGGAGTAGGGGGCATCCAGAGTGGAAGAGCCCAGCCAAGTCTGGGGTGCTTTCTGAGGTGGCCCTTCTTCCAGGAAAAGTAGCTTGCGTTCAAATCGTTCAGAATGCAGCCCTGGTCTGGGGCCGTAGCTCCTTCCCACGCCTCGGGCTGGGTTCCGGCTTCCCACAGCTCTTTGGGTTCTGCTGGTCCCAGGACAGTGTCTGCTGCCTCTCCCCTTTCCTCCGGAGAGTTCCCTCCTTTCTGAGAAGACCTTGGACCTCCCCAAATCCCTGGTTCTTAAAGTCACGAGAATCTGCGTGGAACACCTTATCGGGAAGAAGGAAGACAAGAAAGAGAATGTTACGATGCAGCAAAGACCATACGGTGGGGTTTGCCCACAGGCTGGCATGAAGAGCTTGCTCTTGCCCCTCTCTTTACACTAAAGTGACCCCTCCTGGACTGGGTTGGGAGGCCCCACAGGTGCTATCCCCACCAACCTCCAGCAGGCAACCCACCGCCCCACAAGTAACTGGGGAGAGGCAGGATGTCCTGGGGGGAGACCCCTTCTTGAATGCCCATCAAGAGCCCAGGATTATTTAGGTGTGGCCTCCCAGTGGGATCAGTTACAAATTTTGTCACAAATGCCCTGCCACACGGCCACAGTCACAGGACAGCCAAGCCCACAGAGGCCTGGGATGAAATAAACAGGGAGAATCTGTCACTGAGTGAAGGTCCCCAGACTCCCAAATGCCCTAGCCCTTGGTGAGGAAAAAACAACACACTAGGGCTCCCTGAGCAGTGGGGCAAGCCTGCCAGCGGAAGGCCAAGAGCCAGAGGCCTTCCACTCCTGTCCTTGACTGTCAACAGTGTTACAAAGAGCTCAGGGGCTGACTTGGATCCAGGCCTTTCTTCACTTCTCTCCCCCTGCTCATGGCCTTATGAGCTTGTCAGATAGGAGAAGGGAGTTATCTCAGTTTGAAGGGGAAGGCGGTAGGACTATTGGTTATTATGCACACATTTCAGTTCCCTCAGCTCACCCTGTTCCCCCGGGTTACTGAGAGTTGGATATAATGGAATTCTTAGGAAACAAAAGCAAAAAAACAAAAGCAGCTACTAAAAAAAATAAATAAATAAAACAAAGCAAAACAAAAAACAAAGCAGCATAAGCCAAAGTGCACTTGCTCCAAATGCAGGAACAGCCCCCCTTCTCTCTCCCAAAAGAATCTCCAGACTTGATCTCACCCTATTCCATGTCACTAAAATAGCTCGTACAAGAAAAAAAAAAAGGGGGGGGGAACCCCCAAAACCAAAAAATGCAAAACTTAAGAGGATTTTCCCAGGTGGGGCAAAAGAGTCTTTAAGTATTCCAAACGCAATTAGTCAACTCCGGTTTGGCAAGGGGTGACTGCAATGCCCGAAACTGACCCATGGGAACGATTTCTCCATCTATCCACTTTAGTCATCCGGACTCCCTTTCCCAGTCGCCTTACGCTGGGTCCTGCGGTTCTTTCACAGCCCTTCCGCAGCCACCCAGGAGGAAACTTCTGCGCAGGGACGCCCACAGCCCACATGCCAAAAAGTTTCAGAGTCTGCTAAAACCTGCCCCTCGGGCCTCCTGCCTTCCTGGCAGGCCACCGACCCCCACAGGGGGCTGGAGGGGAGGGAAGCCAGCGCCTCGGCCCGCTCCTTCCAGCGAGGCTAAGGGCCCGGGATGAAAGAGGCAAAAGTGGCCCAGGATGCCCTGAGGAGGGCACAAAAAAGACCCGTTTCATGTCTCCAAGCCCAGGGAGGGGGGAAAGAAACTGGGTGGCCTCTTCCGCCTCTCCTGGCCTCAGAGTCCGCAAACGCGCGGCGCGCCAGACCCCCGGCCCCCGCCGCCCCCCGGCCCCCGCCGCCCCCTCCTCCAGACCCGACAGGACTGACCTGGCCCTCGCTGGGGAGCAGGGGGGGTGCCTGGCGAGTGGCAGCAGGAGCCCGTGGTCTCGGGGGGTGCAGGGTGCCCCCTCTTCTCATCACTCCTCCTCGGCAGTCCTTCTCCACCCCCGGCGCGTCTCCCCGCACCCCCAGCCAAGGAGAGCGTCCAGCCGCGACCCCCCGCTCGCTACATTTCGCCTCCGCGTTACAGCGAGGCCGCCGCTCGGCTTCCACGAGGAGGAGGGGGCCAGGGAGCGCAGGGGAGACCGCCTCGGGCCTGGACTGAGGGGACCCTGACCGGAGACTGGGGCCGAGCTCACTCGCCCCCAATCGCTCCGAGCCGGAGGACCAGAGCCCGACTGGTTGGCTGCTACCGGCAAACGTGATCTGGGGCAGGCGGGTGGCACTCCCCACCCCTCCATCAAAAATAGGTTCCGGATGGACAGCTGCAGCAGCCAATCGGAGACTGGGGAGGGGGCGGGCCCCGCGTGGCCCGGCCCCTTTCCTTCACTCGGGGCCCCGGAGGCGGGGCGCGGGGGAGACGCCGCGGGAGGAGGGCCGCGCGCGGCCAGTCGCGGTCCGGGCGGCGGGCTCGCGGGCCCAGCGCCCGTCCGCCGGCGCCCGGGGTTCCCGCGGCCTCCGGGGCCCGCCCCGCCTGGGAGCCGCCCTCGCCTGCAAGGCCGTGAGCCTGTGCGCGCGAGCGCCGGCACCTCGAGTGTCCCGACCGCTGGCCGGGGAGACCCGGGCAGCTCCGAGTGGGACCGGCGGGGCAGCCACGGGGAGCCCGCGGGCTCGGGCGGCCGTCGCGCTGCCGCGTCCCCGCGCTCGGCACCCGGAGAGAGCCGCCCCTACCTGCTTCTAGACTCAGCTCTTCTCCCCGTCGCCGCGCGCTCCCGCCTGATGCCGCGTTCACGAAGCAAATGGCTCGGCCCGGCGGACCTGGCCTTTATATACAGTCCCAGCCTAGAAAGGGGTGGGGATGGGCGGGCGGGAGGGAAGAGAGGTGGGATCCTCGCTGGGGTCCTGCGCGCACCACCTGAGGTAGGGGCGGAGGGGCGCCTGGCTTCCTTTGACCCGCCGATCCTGGTGGCGGCGTGGGAAGATGTCTCCTTCCAGGCTAAACGAAATCCAACTTTCCCTGACGCATCTTGCGAGATCAAAGAGAGGTGTTCCGCTTCCTCCCTGGGGTATCTCCACCTCTCCAGTGTACACTCAGTACCTGTTCTCTCTGGGATGTTTTTGTGCAGGGAGGTGTGACCTCCCCCATAAAGGAACCGCCACCCCCGGGTTTCCCTCTTCTCAGTGGAAACTGTGACCGTTGGTTCCTTCCTGCCCTTTTCCTCCCGGAAAGTGGCCCAGGGGCGATTGGAGCCTGACTCCAGGTCCCTGGATGGGGTTCGGAGCAGCGATGTGCCGGGGGAGAGGCGAACCCAGTGAGGGCCGGAGGTTTTGGCTGTGTGCGCTGCGGCGCGCCCACCCGACCTCACGCAGCAACCTGAGCCGGTCGGTCCTTTGGACCTGGGCGAACGACGCACACGACCGCACCGCTTCAGTGCTCGGGATCATTCCAGTTTAGCTTTGGGACATTTGCACCAAGGGCCTGCAGTCTCCCTGGACCTAATAGAGGAAATGTTAATGTCTTGTCACCCCAATTTTGACCGCAAACACTGGGTCTCTCTGCCTGTAGGCATTAAGTAACTGCTAGACCAAGAACAGTGGACTCCAATCCTTTTATGGATGGGGGCGTATGGGGCGTTCAATTCAGTGTGGGGTAGGGGACAATTCCTGCCCAACTCTATTCAACAGTTCCCCTCACCCCCCATCTTGTTGTAGCTCAGCTACTTGTATGTAAAATCCTGATCTTTCTTCATTCCCTTCCCACTTTCCTTTTCTCCCCGTTTTATTGGTTCACAACATTGCATATGATTTAAAGGCATAGGATCGTCACCCCCTTCAGGTATATGTTACTACTCCATCTTCCATTTTTTACCACCTCCAAAAGTTTCCCTCTAAATATTCCAGGTAAGTATACCAGATGTGTAAGGTCAACAAAGCACACATATAACCACCACTTAGATCAAGAATAGAGGAGTGCCAGCACCCAGAGACCCTCCTCCTATGCCCCCCCTCACTCCACACCCCCTTTCCCAAAGGTAACCTCTAACATCATAGATTAGTTTTGTGTGCTTTGGATTTTATGCAAAGGAAATAATTCAGTAGGTATTACTTGCATATGGCTGCTCTCACTCAAATTATGTTTGTGAAACTGGTCCATAGTGTGTGGTAGCAATAGTTCATTCCTTTTCACTGATGTGTAGTAGTCCATTAAATAAATATACCACAGTTTATTTATCTATTATTCTGTTGATGGACATTTGGGTTGTTCCCAGTTTGGGGTTAGTCTCATAATGCTGCCATATATAATATTTTTTGTTTCTATCATTTGATACACTTATGTTCATATTTCTGTTGAATATAGACCTGGTAACAGAAATACTGGATTAGAGGAGGCATGTGTTCAGTGTTAGTAAATGCTATGAAATAGTTTTTCAATTACACTCTTCCCATCAATGTCTTAGATTGCTCCATATCCTCATCAATACTTGTTATTGTCAATCTGAAATGATTAAAATTTTTTAGCCATCCTGATGGGTATATAATGGTATCTCATTGTGTTTTGAGTTTGTATGTCCTCGATGACCAATGAGGTTAAGCAAATATATTTATGTGTTACTGGGATATTTATTCAAATATTTTGTTTACTTTTTATTACTTTCTGTTTTTTGGGTTTATAGGAATTCTTTATATATTTCAAATAGGAAGTTCTTTGTTGTTTACAGTATTTCAAATACTTTTATGAGTGTATAAATATGGGGCACCCCGGTTTGGGGGTCTTCTGAAGCCTCAGACTCATAAATTCTATGTCTATTTTGATCACTAGTCTATTCTAGGCTCCTGATATCCAGTAGGTACTCAATAAACATGTTGAATGAATGATGGATAAGATGGATGAGATTTATCCAGATAATTTGCCATGTGTTGTGCTAATCCCTAGGGTCAAACACCAGGAGCAGCTGGAGGGAGCAGGTTTCCTTCCAGTCCGGCCAGCTGTGACCTTGGAAAGAGGAAGACACCCAGCCCTTCCCTACCAAAAGAACAGAAATAGCTACAATTCGTGGAGAGAAGAACAGATGTAGGGGGTAGAGGTCACAGATGAAACGACAGGAACCAGCAGCAGGTAGCAAGCCAGCCAGATGCTTCAGGATGGGAGACTCACCTGGGGGTGATGGAGGTAGAGTTGTCAAGGAGACAGTGAGCATCTCTGAGCATCACAGTGGATCTTTGTATGACAAGGACCTCCAGAGGTCTCCGGAGGTCTCTTTGCTTCATGATGTGCCCACTTGACAGCTTGTTAGCTGCTCTTGGTGTTTCACCCTAGGGATTAGCCCAACATACAGCAAACTACCTGGAGAGACTCTACACTTGGAGATACTTTCCTTTCTGAAAAAGTTTGCTTCAGACTTTGGCTCCAGAGTCTTGTTTCTATTCCTCTTCTTAGATCTGGTTTTAACCTGCTCATGGCTTGTAATGTCCATTCTGAAGATGGCCATTGGCCATTGGGGGTCACTGCCAGCCCCTCATCTTCTGGGAAGCTTTTCCCCAGGACTGTTGGATTCTACAGCTCTTTTCTGTCCCTTTCTTTTTCTTAATGTCTTCTCCTTCCTTGACCTGATAGCAGATGAGGTGAGAAGTTTTTTAACTCTCATCACTGTAGGTGAACATTCTCTGTTATAGCACCTTCACAGACTCACAGCATCCCCTCCCCAGGTCCTCCAGAAGACAGTGCTCCAGAATTTTCTAGATAATTCCAGAATTTTCTATATAGGCTAACCTTGGGAAGGGAATATCACTGCTACCTTGGGGTAGCAGTCCAGCTTTAGGAAGGCTAGATGACAGTCATGTCATGGAAGGCACTTGCGTCACAAGCGCAGTGTTTTTACTTAGAATGTGAGACCATCAGTGGGAATGAGGGGTTCTAGGGCAGGCGGAGGCATTGAGCACTGCACAGCAGTGGAAGACGTGGTGAGGGAAGCACCTCTGTGGAGTCGACTTCTTTAATCTTGCTTGGTGTGCTTTGACCTTTCTGCCTCTGTCCTGAGGTCCTTCTGGCCTGTGGCCTTTCTCCATGGATAGCTACTGTCTACTTCTGGCTTCTCTGTAGGATACCTGGATATTCATCCTGAAACGTCATAAAATTCCAGAGCCATATAAATCCTGGATCCCTTACCAGTGGGATAAAGTCACAAGACTAGCCTGATATGACTGGAAAGTTTTTTGTCTTTTGTTTCTGCTGGGGAAGGGTGCCCCCCTCCCATTTTTCCCCTTGCTGTAACCCCCTCCCTGCAATCGCCCTCTCAGAGGTCAACCTCTTTCCTGCTGCCCCAAGCTGAGGTGATATCCCCTTCCGGCTGCATTCAGCTCCAGGAGGATGTGGCCATGGGGGCGGGATGGGGAAGAGTGGCCATCTGTGTGCAGCCTGGTTGTTCTTACCAGCCCTCTTGCTTCTGACTGAACTCCCCTCTCCCATGGGCCCTTGGGTGTCCTCCCTGGGGTTCCTTTAGGCAGTATGGTTCCAGGGTTTTTTTTTTTTTTTAAAGATTTATTTATTTATGTATGCAAGAACTTGGGTGCAGGCCAGGGCATGGGGGGGAGGTGAGAGGAGTCACCAGAGACAGGCAAATCGTCTGAAATACACTGCTGAGAGGAGCAGCGGGCGTGTCAGGAGAGGTCTGCTGCACCATGTCGGTCGCTCCATTGTGGGGGATTGAACTCATGCTGCAGTGACTGCGGACTGTCTCATAGGCTGCGTCCCAATCCCTTGCACCACCAGGGAGGCCCCTCCAGGGATTTTGAAGCATGTAGTTCTGATATTACTAAGGGTAAGTGGGAAGCCTTAGCCATGAGCAAAACAGTCTGGTGAACTCTATTAGGGGATAGAGACATCACCAATGCTTTGGCATAGAATGTGCTACAGTTTTGTAACACGGCCACATGTTAGGTGTGTGACTTAGGCATGCTCCTTAATGTCTCCGAGCCACATCTATAAAGTAGAGACACTATCCCCTTTCTCAGAGATGCCGCGAGGATCAGTGATAATATAGCATTTGAGATATTTCCCTGCACAAGGTAAAGATACTATGATTTCACTGAAGAGAAAGAAACATAAACAAGGATTCGGCATTTGAAAGGAGCAGCTCAGGCTCTCTCTGAAACGCACACTGGATTCCAGAGTCCATGGCCTGTGAGGGCGTCCCACACTGCCAGGGATTAAAGCCGGACATCTCTCCTGGACTGTGGAGGTTGGGGCTGCCCTGGGCAGTGTCCTTGCCTTGGGT